CTTACTGAAGGCTCATAGTTGTGATTATATGAAAATTTATAGACTTCAATATCAAAAAGAAACTAAACGAAAGTTGAACTTTCATCGGTTTAGAAGGGGAAACATGTACTCAGAAGTTTGCCTGAGAGAATATGGACAAAGTCTTAATCAATCGCTTATCAGAACAGAGAGCATGTTCCTTATTTAAAAGGGCTTCCTGTATATCCTATTTGCAATAAAAAAATATATATAGTTCTTAGCCCAGGGTAGATATTTAACCTTGAATTTTACACATACATTTTTTTAATTTCCTATTTGAAATTAAAAAAAAATATATATATATAGTTCTTAGCCCAGGGTAGATATTTAACCTTGATTTTTACACATGGGTCTGGGATGACCCAGGAGCAGGACAGACAAAATATGATTAAAGAAAACAAAAAAGCTAAAGAAAGTTTACAAAGGACAAAATATGCTGCAGGTGCAAAGGCTGTTGAACATAAAATCAAAGTGACAGGTAATCCAAGCATAAATCTAGGGAACAAATGAAAGGAAATAAATAGGAGGGGAGCATGAGAATGCGACAGCCTGGATGAACAGACACAATAACAAAGAGAACTGAGAAAGATAGGATTACAGTATGTATAAACGGGGCAACCACAAACAGATGGCAATATTTACCTCTGAGCAGAAAGGAGGCAATCTGGGGATGTTAAACGAGATATGACACGTACTGTAGACAAAAAAAAAAAGGAAATGGGGGTTAAGGAGACTAATTGTAAAACTGAAGATTTTGAAAACTGAAAGAGCAAACTGAGATGAACACAAGAAACCAGATAACTAATAATTTTGAACAAAGCCTTGGTACTTGTTAAACAAACAGTACAAATATCAGAAAAGCTAACTTGAAGTGAGCTCTATGAAATGATCATGGATTAAACCAGATGAACTTTTTTTGACTGTTTTAAGTAATGAGGTGTGTTTATAAGGGAAATGCCTTTTTTCTGAAATAAATTTGATGAAATACCCTTGTACAGTGTTGTTCTACAACCACAATAAGCACACATTTTTTATTATTCGTATTTGAATATTTTATTTCTAACACAGGTAACTTGCAAATGCTGTTTACCATTTGCACATTTTTTCTTGTGAAAACGACAAATTTTATTCAAATTTTTTTGTGGGGATTTATTATTAAACAACAAAAAAGTAGTGGATAATTTTAGAGGACATCCATCCATCCTACCATTTTCTTACACTCTTATCCCAAGTGGGGTCGACAGGTCGCCAGTCCATCGTAGATTTTAGAGGACATTGCCTCCTTTTTTTTTTTTTTTTTTTTTTTACAATTAAAGCCTAACAAGTGTGCTTTTTAGCTATGCCACTAATTCGTTATTTTAATGACACTGCTTAAAAAAAAACCCTCTATATTTATACTTTATAAAAATATTTCACCTGAAACTGGGTTCTTTGCATCTCCTTTAAATTACAGTGTTGGGGTGGAGGTGGTGGGGGTAATTATCCTTTAAAAGCATTTTTCAACCTGTCAATTTCAGTGAAACTCCATTATTGTGTCTAATGAGATCTCCAAAGCATAGGATATTGTTTTCTTATATTTCTTGACCTTTCTTTTATAATTCTATAGAATAATATCATTCTAAGGTATACTGAGGTATTCTCAGATTTAATCATGATGGGATATAATAACAACATCATGTTGTTTAGTAAACAGCTGAGTTCTGAAGAAAGTTTTTTTTTCTGGATAGCATGTGGGGATAAGATACCTTTGAGGTTGAAAATTGTGATTTTTTTTTTTATTTTTTTTATTCAAGGACCAGTACAATTGTAAATAGTGGCTTTTTTACTGTTTATTGGAAGTGTCTACCCAGTTTCAGTACCAGAGGAAATGAATGTTGGGGTGTCTGCAATGTAATAATGCCTGAAGTTTTGTTTTTTATCTGTTACCCATGGCTTTTAATGCATGAAAAAGGGACAACTTTTTTTCTTTTTACTTTTTTAGACATATCAACTTTAGAACAGCTTTCACTCAAGGCATGCAGTGGGCTGTGAAATGAAATGTTGATCCCATGAATATGAGTGAGTGTGTGTGTGTTTGTGGGGGGCAAAAGACAGGAATCCCTTTATCAGATTGACCAAAGAACCTTTTTTATGTCAGCAATCATCCTGAAAGTGGCCCTGCAGTGCATGCCAAACTCAGTGAAAGTGAGTGAGGAAATCTCAAAGAAAAAAAGGTACATTTAAAGTATCATAAATCATAAATGGGGAGGAAGAAATGACTGCTGAATGAAGGGAAGAAGAACTTAGTGCTGTCCCTTGCTTTAAGCTAAATTACCATGCGCAGTAGATCTCTTTTATGGCACCAGTGCTGTCCATGGTGCTGAAAAGTCGTGATTACACAAGAGGTAATGTTCTAGTTGGACGGCAGTAAGGAAGTGGAAATAAATCTTGGGGCAAAACTGAGATTTCAGCTAACTATTATGTGTTCACAGACTGGCAGGAACACCTTGGTGTAAGCCCTAAAGATGCTTGAAAGTGGCCCATTACCAAGGAAAACATATTGAGCTCCTTTATTAAAGCATGAAGCTTACAATTTAATCATGTTTTTCTTCTTAAAGTACAGCTAGTGAACCCATAATGGTGGATTAAGGTTGTGCTGAAAGGTTGTTTAGGAAATCACTAAGTTTAAAAATGTAGATGCAGATGGAGGCAAACATTATTTTGGAATAAATTAATATTCTATTGCAGTTACATCATTTAACACTGAACCAACCAGGGGAAAAAGTAAATCTTCAATCTGAGTAGTGGTGTTACAACTCATGTTACTTACACCCCCATAACTAATAAGACAGCACTCAGGCTTTTCCTATAACAATTTACAAGCTTGCAGTTGTACAGGGAGCATGTTTTTAGCCCTTCTTTGAACACTCTTTATAAATATCCATGCCGTGTTTCTCAAAAAAGTGGTGCAAATACTACTTGTGGTTCCATGGCTGCCTTTTATTGGTAATTTGGAGTACTAATTAATTGTAATAAAAAGACAAATAAACATAACTTTGGTGTAGAGAGAAAAGGCACAAGCAGCCCAAATGGATTTTCTGTCCTTGCACATTAAGAGGTTCTTCAAACAATAAGCTTTCAAAAGAGAAGTACAAACAGACATTTTCAAAAACTAGTTTGCTTGATAACAACAAATCTAAAGCAAACAAAACTAAAACAAGAATGTGTTATGCAGTTTTTTTTATGAGCAGCACCTGTTCTGTTTTTAAGTCTTACCCAGTGACATTTAAGCTTCTGTTTTCTGTGTTTTACTTGCTCCTCTGTCAATGCTCTCCTGCCCCTGAGTTAATTGTATCCACTAAGTTTATGTTATTAGAATCCTTTCATGCTGCATCCATTTTGTGGTATGTGCCTTTGTCCATCTCTGACAGTGTATGACTGTAGGAACCAGTCACAAAAAGGACCAATCAGACATAAGTTCTGCCAAAGTTCTGTCCTGGATTCCCAAGCAGCTGGAAGATGAAAAACGTATATGAGAATACAGAAATTCTGCCTCTTCCTGTGCTGTTGGGAGAGATACAGCAAGAATTTGGTCCTCCCGCCACCAACATTTGACCCACAGCATTACAGCTCTTCTCTACCAAAGTTGAATGCTGTCTCTGCAGGGACTGCAGAAAAAAACATCCATCCTGCCGACGGCCTCTAAATCTAACGCCCTTTGCTGGTCCCATGTGAAGGTTAACTAACTCCTGCAAGGAGGTTGCACACCCCCAGCCTGCTCCATGGCTCTGAATAGTATTTTAGAGAGGAATCTAGCTTGTTTAGCTGGTTCAGCAGCTGAATCAGACTTTGTTCCTTTCATATAGGTTCGATTCTCGCCTCAAACTTCTGCTTCAAAATGAAGGTGTTCAAGTAAACATGTTTCATACTTCAGTATCTGAGGTCTCCCATATGGGTGACCACGTAGAACTACTTTGGGTTATAGTTCTTGGGTTCTCCGACAAGAACACCTGCACAGGTCATAGTTCTTGGAGCTTCTACAAGGATTTAAGTTTCTAAAGTTTTTCTGTGGGTACTACTCTCCGGATCTCCACGGCACACCAGTAGGACTTTTCTTGAATTCTCTATTGTGACATCCAGCAAAGTTCTCTGTGGGTTCACAATGAACCAGCATCATCAGGTCTCTGGATTGTTTCCTCTTGCTCGTAATTAAATTTTATCATTAAAAGCATTATCATGCATATTTTAGTCTGAGCCTTGGTCTGTTTCCAACTTTGCAGTTTATCATGGTTTTCAAGCGGTTTCTGAAATCAAATCTTCTGTTAACTCATTGTGACACATGCACACACAAATATATATAGAATGTGGTGTTTTAAAGTAAAAAAATTCCACTCAGGTCACCCAGTCTGCCTTTTCAAATTGGAGACATTTAAAATTTGTTTTAGATGTAGCTAATTATTAAGAACAACTATGTTACAGTTATGCTGTCCTTGAATGATGGTGAACCAAGTGTTTTAAAGTCCTGCCCTTTTTGAAGATGTTAAGTTTGATTTGTAAATATTTTTAGTGGTAAAACCATTATTTATTTTTACCTAAGTAACTATATTGATATAAAAGATTGTTACATTTTTGTGTGATATCCTGCTTTTTAAAAGCATTTACACATCTTCACCAGCAGAAAAAATGTGGCCTGTGCATATAAGCCTTTTAATAAAATTAAGGTGGTTAATTATTTCACATTTTACATTTCATATAATAATATGTTCCATCAGTCTACCAACAAATACCGTATAGCATCCTGCCTGTATTCAAGTCGGAGTGAGAAACTAAATACGCAGAATGTTATTCAACGTAATCTCATTAAAATTCACAAGGATTGAAGCTCCGTGAGAGGTTAGATTATTGGCGGGCACGCACGTGGACCCACAAACACACACACACACTAAGGCACACAAACTTCACAGCTGGTGTGCCTTCCTCTAGCAGAGACTGACAGAAGCAGTGCGACCGCTGTAAACTGAGTGCGCTCATCTGTCCTCTCCAACACCGGCGCGCCTTTCTCTGTCGGCATACAAACTTTGAAACGGTGCGGAGAGAAATGTGAAAGAAAAACGATTAGAGGGAAAAAAGAAAGAAACAAGAAGAAACAGGACAGGGAAGAAAATCAAGCACGAAAAAAAGCGGTGGAGCTGGGAGAAAGAGGGAGCTATGCCCTCTCCCGCCGAGCAGAGCCCTGTCCTCCTCAGTTGTGTGTCGGATCTACAGCATGGTGTCTCTTTCTGGACTCTGGAGCCGCTGCCTCGCCCCGGGGAGAACCCGTCTCCTTTTCATCTCTGTCAGAGTGCTTCTGCTGCTGCTTCTCCTTCTGTTGACCCCCTTCTCGTCTGCCGAAACCTGCTTCCCTCACCCTGCGCCCTGCCACATACTGGCACGGATCGGACACACCGTGCGCATCGGTGCGCTCCTGCCAACCCGGCAGCCGGCGCGGATACAGAACGCGCTCAACCGCGCCCTGGCGAGCATCAGGCACCAGAGCGGCGGGACGGACTCCACCACCGTGTCCTCCCAGCCGGCCCCTCTGTTGCCCTACAACCTGACCCTGGAAATGGTTGCGCGGTCCCCGTCGGGATGGGACCCAGAGTCGCTGTCCCACAGCGCCTGTCAGGACCTGGTGATCAGAGGTGTGACAGCCGTGCTCGCTTTTCCACGCTCCAGGGAGGAGCTGATCCAGGTGGAGTTCCTATCCTCTTTCCTGGAGATCCCCTTCGTTTCCATCCTGGAGGACACAGAACCACTTGTCACTAAGGTACGATTATATCCAGCAGCATCCTTTAAATATATCACATGGTAATTTTGTTGAATGTGCTTCTAAATAAGCAGCAACCCTTGTCTTAATGTATTTTTTAAGTATTATTATTATTATTACACTTGTGACTTAAAACTGGGTTGACAGAAAACAATCTGCCTGATCCTATAGCTGATGGTGGGGATTTTGTTGTCTAAGCATCTGAAAAACTAGTCATATATTCAGACTACCAAGGAGCAATTAAATAGTTTAAGGCAAAGCAATTGTAACGGGGATAATGAAGTTAATTATCCCTGCTGCTAATCTAAAGAATGATTAAAACAATTGTCATGGAACTAAAAAAACAATCAAAATGCTGCACGGTTAATTGCAGAAGTAGTTAGCAGTCTCAGACTCCAATCTCCACCATTAAAATCGCTGTTCTAGAAAAGTCTGATGTTCAGATTTTACTTTGATTTAGCAGCATGGGGGACCTCAAGGCCCACAAGATGTTTATCTGATAGTGCACAGTTTTAAATGGCAGGTTTTTAAATGCAAATTAAACATATGTCTTTTCTGTCTTAACCTTATTCTTTTTTTTAACACAAATATGATGTGAACCAAAACAGTTGTTGATGGATGTCTGAGGATGGTTCGAAGATGGGTTTTAAACACCAGGATTCAACCATTTGCAAAGGTGATAGATAGCTGTTTTGAGGAGGTGTTGCTCCTGCAGCTCATGCTGTTTTGTTCAATCAGATATTTGTACGTTGTTTATCTGCATGTGTTGCTTTGTTTCTCTGTTTTACTAAAATGTAGTTTGGTAATAAAAAAAGCATGTGTTGTTTCCGTGCACCTATCAGCAGCAAGAGCTGCTTGACAGGGAATGTTTCCAGTGATTTCCATTTCAATCCAAGCGAGCACCCAAATACTTCTGTCACACATGTATGCACAGATAAAGTATGAAAAAACCCTCACACACAGGTGGCAGGATCTGAAAGAAAAGACAGAACCCACCTTTGGTTGCTGACACAACAAACGTGGAAGAAGTTTCTATGGTCAGATGGAACCAAAATTAAACCTGTTTATGATAGATGGAAAACAATATGTGTGGCTAAAAACACTGCAATGCATGGTAAAACAGCTAGCAACATGCTGTGGGGATGTTTTTGTAAGAAAAAAATAAAAGCATGTAAGAATTGATGGAAAGAGACAGGAAGCTAAGTGCAGGGAAATGCAGGAAGAGGGACTTGAGACTGGGGGAACTGTTATGTTAGTATTCATTAGAGCAGTCTGGACCGCTTGCCTCCTAGTGTTTCCAGCGATATCCGCCTGAATCCAGCCAAACAGCCAGCTGCATCTCTTTTGCACATATATTTTAGTGTATGTACTTTTGCACAGAAGCAAGCTCTAAGTTCTAAAAGTGTGTTTGCATGGAAGGGAACATCTAACTTGCAAAGTTCTTCATTTTAGACAAAGATACAAAAAGGTCAACCTAACATGAAAACTCAACCTAGAGGCGATGGAAGGAGGCAATGGCCTGCAGTTTTGCGGTGGAAGTAGGGCTGAAACAATTAATCAGATTAATCCTGATTAATTGATTATTGAAGTAATCGTCAACTAATTTATTTATTGATTAATCTTTAATTGGAGTATAGAGACTAAAATATGTCTTTAGCTGACAGAAAAATCCACTTAGAGCAGTTATTATATTGAAATTGTAAAAAAAAATATAAACATTTTGCATTTCAGATAAAGAATTGTTTTCGTCTGTCAATATCCTCTATGTAGAACTCCTCAGGAGGTAAAGTTTTGGTTTAACCTGGTTTAGTTTCGTAAAAAATCTTCTTTAAGGAACCTTTGTCTTTCTGTATATTAATTGATAAATCGAAAAAATAATCAACATATTAATCAATTTGTAAATTAATAGTTAGCCGTAGCCCTAGTTGGAAGGCTTCTCTGAGCCATGCATTGTTCTCAACATTGTAAGGGTTATTTAATGTCCATAGAGCAAACATAAGTAAGAGGCCAAACTACTTGACGAATAGCTTGAAAATGCAAAAAGATAAGCAAGCATGAGAAGGAGGAGAAAGAAGATATCAGAACAGTGTTGCTTTTTTTTCTTTCTTTTTTAGCTGTGGGAGGCTAAAAGAATAGACTTGTGCCAACCAGGCCAGCAAGAGAAAAAAATAACATTCCACTGTGCTCTGATGGCTCCACTTTTAAATATTTTCAGCTATTTTTGTATTTCAAGTATGATGCTTAAAATTGATCCTTGTTTCTTGTCTGATTTTTGGTTAATAGAAGTCTTTTTGCCTCTCATCAAATTTCTGAGTTCTTCAGTTCACATCTGAAGCTTAAAGTTTCATCATTTCCATTTGTTCATCTTATTTGAATGACTATATTGTATGTGTTTAAAATCATATGAAAATGGTGGTTGTTTTAAGAATGTTGTAGTTAAACTCGAAAAACACCACCCATTGATGTACTGCTTCTATGAACTAAATCCAAACTAAAATCCAAGAACATAGCTGAGTAACAAAATGTGGATTTTAACTTCAGCATTTGACCCAAAAAAACTAAATACAGAGGAAATCTGTAAGTCTTGTTTTTAATTATTAAGGTAGTTTGAAATTACAGATGTTGAATGGAGCTTTTTACTTTTATCAGTAAAAGTCATGGCAGAAAAGCAACTTTAGATGACTTTGACAAGGGCTAGTATGAGATTTTCCCTTAGTGAAAACCTGAGAAAAAAAATGTTGAGCAAAATTGCAATTGTGATGGGTAGGACATCTCGAGCTATTATTCATTTAGCAACAAAAATATTTTGTTAACATCAGAGTTCGAACTTGAAATATTTTGCAGTGCTGAAGTAAAAGCTATTAAACCTTTGCTAAAGCCTAATACCAGTAGGCCTTTGCTTAGTTTAAAGATAGAACCTGAAGTATTTGAGCCACATTTGGGTTGCATTAAAGTGTGATGTACTAGCTTAAATGTCGCACCCTCAATTATAGATGCAGCTGACAAAGATGAAGCAAACAGTGACAAGAAAAACAATGATCTTTAGAAGCTTAAGTGGAACAAATCTGTTTATAATCTTCAAATCTTTACTACAGATTGTGTTTTGATTGAAAAAAAATGTGACTTGCTTTTGGCTCAAGTAAAGTGCTATCTTATAAAGTTTGGACTCAGTCTTTAGTTGACGTGAAACAATTATCTTTATCTGACTACTGAATCATGCAATATTTGGTATTTCTTCTTCCCTCTGGTTTTTAGTGGATTAGTTACAGTTGTATGGATTTCTAAGGGACCCACAGGAAGCCATACAACTATTGTGGTTCTTTGGAAATGATATAGTCATGTGTGGAATGCCTCAAGTTTCAGTCCTATTCATTTTGATGTTAACAAGCTCCCATTATCTTATATTATTAAAAAATAATACGATTATTTCTAACTATCCAGATGACACACAACTGTTGTAGAATCGTAATTTTCCGTTTTACCTTCTTTTGTTCTTGCATTTCAAAATGACGTACAGGAGACTTGTTTTAATGCGTTATGACGGCTTGTTTGCAACGCCAACGGTAAAACAATGGTGTAGCTCCGCCGTTCTACTTTATTTTTTTACATATGTGTTTCCATGACAACATGAACTTCCTGCCCACACTAAGGAAGCCTAGATTATTGGCAACATATGTCTAACTCAAAGTTTACTAATAAACAAACAAATAAGAACAGAAATATATCCTAAACTTAGAATATTAAATTCAACTTATACTTTACATAAATGAGGCTTACAACAGTATATCATGTTGTAACCGGGTTTGGGGGGTGGTGGGGCAGGAGCATATCCAAGCACCGAACAGATGTTTGGAAAAATTTTCCACATAATAAGGAACGATCCAGAGTCAGCATACAGCTTGAGGTGATACATTTAGAAACCTGTAGTCTGGTGTAAAAATGTAGTAATTGACTCAGGCCTGAACATTCAGAGACACAAAAAAAACTGTTATTATTTTTGCTTTGTACCATCTAGAGAACATTTCCAGAATTAATTAACTAATATCACAAAAATAATCTAGAGAAACTCATCCATGAATTTGTCTTCAGTCGTATTGATTTCTGCAACTAACAGTATCTTAATCAGACAGCTGCAGCTAATCCAAAATGCTGCTACTCGTGTCCTCACTAAGACTAGAAAATTAGAACACATCACCCTAGTTTTAAACTCCTTACAATGGCTACCTGTAGCTCAGATAACAGACCTTAAAATACTTCTATTAGTTTATAAATCACTGAACAGTTCAGCACAACAGTACATGAAATGTTTAAGTCTGTGTTTTATCCCTAGAATCACAGGGAAACATTGAAAAGCAGCTTTCAGTTTTTTTGCACTTTTAATCTGGAACAAACTCTAAGAGAACTGCAAAACGAACTCCTTCATATGAAGGCTAAAGTTATTTGAGTAGTAGCCAGCTAACACAGCCGATAAAGAGCTGCTCTGGAAAAATTATGTTAGTACACATTGACCATCTTCCTGATTGTGTGTTGCTGGTTAATGATTTTTATGATTTTGTGTTTTGATTATACAAAACACTTTGAAGTGCCTTACTGCTGAAATTTGTTTTACAAATATTTTTTTCCTGGTTATCTACTTAATGTGGGATAGAAATTGAGTCACAAATATTTTTTGTTATTTCTATGGTATTTGGTGTGATAACAGCAAAAGTAATCATATGAAATACTTACAAATAAAATCATTCTAGCTATAATAAAGACAACATAGTATTTCTACAATATTACAATAATATAACCAAATATTGTGATCAAAATTTTAGCTGTAGTACAAACCATTTTTCTCCCTTTTTGGTTTACTTTTCACAATTTTTTTCACAGTCCTCTTGAGCTTTCACATCTCTTTTACTAAAATCTTAAGCAATTAAAAGACAAAATAAGTCATTTTAATTGCCAACATATATTATTGGCAAGCAGAGTTGGAATGGGTTGCACTTGAAGTATTG